TCAAAAAATGGAATCTGAACCCATTCTATATGAAAATCGAACTTTTCTGAAAAAATTTACGCTTCAACAAACCCGTTCATTTAAATCACACTGAAAGACGTCAATAATGCATATATTTGGTAGCGTAGTGGTTAAAGCGGTTGGTCTTGGAACAAAACTGCGCTATGGAGAGAGTTCGAATCATACGTGAAACTTTTTTTTGTTTTCAAATGTCTTAAAAACATGAGTGAAAAATACATTATTAATAAATTATTGAAAAATTAAATACAGAATTTGATGTGTAAAAGATGATATAAACCATAAAATTTTGAAAAAATACCACTTTTAGAATTAGCAAATGTCTTTTTTCAGAGCGAGGGATTGTCATCGCCTTGTACGCCTCCATTCTTTATATTGGTATGACTAAAACACTATCCACAACAATACCCAGCTCTTGATTAATTATTGATATGATCTTTCACCTACTGACTTCAAGTATTTCCGGGAAAGATGCTAATATTTTATCATATGCATAAAAATGTACTTTTGAAGAAAAATGAGTCTTTGCTCCATGTTTTTGTATAAAAAAAATGTAATTTTTAATGTAAACTTTTAAGATAAACTTTCATAAAAAGGAGCGAAGATCCACTCATATCGAAATGAAAATGTAAGAAAATAATCATTTTTGTCATCTCTACTGTTATTTCAATCGTAAATAATTCCAGTCTTTGTAAATTATAGTTAGAGATTTTACATAAATTTTACTTTTGTCTGTTGGTTGTAAATTATCATTTAAACATTTTCAGCCAATCCTCTCTGGAACCAATGAATTAATATCAATCTATTATAGTATTTATCCATTGGTGATTGGGAACAATAAAAATTTATTTAATATTTGAGGCATATTCTATTCTTTCCTGTATTGCTACTATCAAAATTATTTTTAAGGTATTTCCACCCTCCTGTGATGTTATAGATTTTGCAAAAATTTTACTTTAACGTTTGATGAAATATTAAAGAAAAATTTTATATGATTGAGATTTTATTTTTCACTTCATGTTTGTCGCACTTTATTCACTGCTTCTACCGTGTTTATCCATCGTTTTTTAAAGAATGTTAAAAAACAAAAGTCCACGAAAGTCCCACATCATACATGTAAATCCCCTTCAATGCCTCTTTATTTCCTGATCAGTTCATGTTTTCTCCGTTTCTTATCCAGTCTCCTTTCTTCTTCCAACACGTTTTTTCTTTACGTGTACCTATACAGTATGTTAAGAAATGTAATAATAACTTGTATATTTTTCTTGCTTTAATAATAATTATTGTAATTGTGAAAATTATACTGGTATTTTCATCTCTCTAATCATTCCCTTTCAGTTTCGACTTGGTCGTGTCCCGGAAGATCTTTTTAATTTACTTTAATTGGACTTCGACGCGTTTTTTAAATTTTCTTATCGGTCGCTGAATCGAAACAATGTACATTATTTCCACAAGAAGTCCACTTGTCTTCTCCGCGCATATGTATGCTTCAATATATATATTTAGAATATTTTGCATTATAGTATTTATTAACTTAATGCTATTTAAATTCTGACACGTTTTTTTTACTTAAAATTGGTTTAGATAAAATTTGGTCTCGGTATCGACCTGATATACACGTTTATATGCAATAAAGAGCTCTATTCCATGCCATCACATACTCTAACGGGATTTCCTGTTTAAAGACTTGTTAATATGGTAAATACTGAGCCGTCTCTCTGTGTGCCATCCGTAAACTCTAAATATATTCAATTTCCTTATGAGGTTAAGTCTTTCTCACAGTTAAAACCACGCTTTGAAAAATATTTAACATATGCTGTTTCAAGTTTTGATTAAAAAAAACTTACTTAGCTCTGATTATGGTGAGGTCATTTGTACGGAACTCTTCGCTTTTTTTAATTCATCAAAATTGTCATAATATTTTTACCTACTTAACCCTTATTGAGCGTTTACATTCTCTGTTGTTTTTTGGCATTCTTCTAAATAAAAGAATATAAAGGAAAACTTAGATCAGAAAAAAAAAAATTTAAGTGACAAATTAAGCGTTTTATGCGAGTATATCTCCGTAGTATTAATTGGTCCACAAATAATAAACATTCGACATAAACAATTTTGAATATTTCTAATTTTTTCAAAAACATAGTTAAGTTTATTTACCGCGGCTCAGATTTCGAAAGAGAGGGGGTATACTATTTTGACCTTGTGTGTCTATCTGTCTGACCGTAACAAATTTTGTTAGCAGTTTTCTCTTGAACTACACATCAAAGATGCTTGAAATTTAAGCACACTTTTTGTTTAGGAATGCATGTTTGTACGAATTCAATGTCAACTTCCTATTTTATACCCTTCATAACAAATTTTAGTCGCGATTTTATCAGCACCTACTCAGTGCTATACCCAGTATTATATGATTAATTGTGTATTGTTTCACGCCGAGTCAGCAATTTTTCAGCCATATTTCGGAGTATAAGTTTAAATAATCAATCTTTGAAAGTTTTTGGTTTCTCTAGCGGCCCCGAGTGAACGTACTCTTTTTTGAACCAGAGAAACGATCTTTAGGCGATACCCTGGCCATGTGTTCTTTAGCCATTTGTGAAACGCAATGATAATGTACCAATTTTCATACTTCATAAACAGTGAAACTGTTGTTATTAATACTAATTTTATAATAATACTGTGAACATTTTTTTTAATTGCTGAGTAAAGGCATCTTTAGAGTATATAAAAATGTTTGAAATGAAACGTAAAGTGCATGGTATTTCAAATAAATGAAGAAGTCGTAAGTATGATTATCTCACAAAAAAACTCTAATTTATGTACACGATAATTAAGTTCCCACATTCTGTTGACTTTAACGCTCCAAACAATTACCATTTATGTCATTACTTAACATGTGATACCAAACGTCGTTAGCGCTCCTGAAGTTGTGATCCATTGAAATAATCACGGTCCAAAACAACTCAGCACAATTAAGATCGAAGTTCTAATGGGGTAAAAGATCAAATTACCCGACATTTCCATTATTTACCAAATTAAGCTAACGAGGTCGCTTCCTCGGAAAAGAAAAAAAAACATAATACTGGGGGAAAGTTCATGAACCCTATACCTCAATTGTAAAAAAAAGTCTATCTGTGTACAGCTCTTTTGGGGTTTTTTTTCCGGTCATATCTTTCATAATTCATGTATTGCTATGACTTGACCCGAATGTAGTTTATTTTCAAAAATATCATTGACTTAATGTGTCATTATCGAGATTGAGATTGCGAGTAATGGCTTAAGGTCAAGACCACTGGTCTGTTTCATCAAGCTTTCAAATGAATTTAATTTTTGTGAAATCCATTAAAATTACATGACTTACTTTCACTTAAAGTCAAGCCATAGTTTCAGGAGGTGGTTAGAAATGGTTATCATCGGAGTAAAAAAAATTGGAAATTACCCTAACAATTATAAAATCATACGTTTAAAGTCATCGTTTCGTAGGTTCTATGGTCGATACAATGACCTTGTCAGCAAGTACAATTTATCAATATCATCATGATTTTTTTCATACTTATTGTTGGTCAATTATTTATACACTGAATTAACGGCGGATTTTCCCGTTATTTTCCAATCATGACAAAGAGCAGACGGCAGGTGTGACTGGGGATGCTCACTCCTCCATGGCACTTGATCCCACCTCTGATGTCTTGGAGGTCTGTGTTTGCTCTGCTCCTATTTTGTATTGTTTTATGACTTTCAAATTAAAAAATATGAATACAACACATATTTTATTTTAATTCAGAGTTTCCTAATTGTGACCTTTGAGCAGCCAATTTGATCTGACATAAAAAATCATTTCTTAAAAATAAGCAGCTCTTCATACTTCAGTCTATTTTCCATTTGGCTCTAATGTTATTGTTGTTCATGAAAATATATATTAGAAATTTTAGTGAATGTTATAGAAAAGGGTCGGGACCCCTTAAGCAGTTATTATTCATGTACATGTACAATGTACCGCGTCATTTTTTTTTTAAATACGAACATGCTTCTCAAGTGAATATACCGGTACCCCTGTTCCTTTATTTGTTTTACAATTACTCAGACTAGTTTTTGTATATAACCAAAAGTTATGAGCAATTTTAAGAGTGAAAATGAAATTCTATTTATGGTAAAATCTGTTATAACTTTCCGTTACATTTGTTATTTTCAGCTCTACTGGACAGAGACCAGAAGAGCTTATGCTCTAGAAGGATGTCTCTAGTCCTTCCCTTTGTCTGTCTGTATGTAATTTTTTCAAAACGCTACTCCTCCTACAGATTTGCTTTGATTTTGATATAAATTCAAACATAAGTAGACTACACTACTAAAGGTACATAATTTTATTTATTACTGCCTGTTGCAAACTTTCAAATCCAAGTGCTGCTTTTCTTGTGTTATACGTACAGACCAGTAGAGCTTCAATCTCATCAAGACTTCTGGTTTATACTGGGTATATGTATAACTCATGCAGAATGCCTTTCATTGTACCATATTTGAAATCAACGAAATAACAAAATAAATATATACCCAACAACATAAAATAGAGAAATCGTAAACCACATATTGAGGTGTATACCTGTATTTGTTATGAATTTAGTAATACCTGACTTTGTGGAAATCAATCATTTTATAAATAAATATCAGTGTCTAGAATACCACATTAATTAGTGATTTAAAAATCTAACTTAACTCTTAGTTAACATAATCATAAGAATATAAATCGGAAAGGGCATATTTACAAAGTAGCAATAAAATAAACCATTTTTCAGTATCTGAAATCCCGAGGGCATTGCACTTTATAAACTTGAATTTCTTACCACGAAATACGTGCGCATTGTTTAAACATTGATGTCTATCTTTACTATAAACAAGACACATCTTAAAAGAATCAAGTCAAATAAGTTCAACATAAAAACATGCGCAAGCAATACACAAACTTATTTTTCATCAAATATAACCTTTTTTTTCTTACCATTCCTCTCTTTTCCAAAGCATAAAATTTTGGTGAATGAGTACAATTATGCGAACTCTTATTCTTGACAGCTGGGAAGAGAATGGGCTGTACGTCAGATAAAATGGCGCTGACAACGATTCCAGAGGACGAAAAGCAACTCGTCAAAAATTCGTGGAATATATTCCTATCCAGAGGAGATTTTTCGGATACGGGATCTTATATGTACAAAGTGTAAGTACACATCACAATGCATGATTTTGAAGCTAATTATTAATGTCTAAAGTACTGAAATGGTCGATTAGAAAATTTCGATTTCCCAATGACGAAAATTGCTATAATTATTCTTTTCATACTGTAAAGATCAAATTAGTTTATCGAGATTAAGATGTATTTCAAAGGTTTCTTCTTTAACCGTAAAATTTACAATTAACAAGAGTCTGATATTCGAAGTATTATCTTTCAATAGAATTATGTTCTCTGCATTTCTTATTAATTTTCATGACATTCTCACGTACCGTTTCATTAGTAGTCGACAGGCTTAGCTTATTATTACATGATTTCATAACCTTGACTACGATTACGTGGATATGTTTTTCTGCATACGGCAGTTTTAAAACCGAAAATAAAAACTGGAAACAGAGAAATGAGGATTGTTGATCATGTCAAATGAAGTTGTCAAATGAAGGAATTCAGTGCAAGTGTACCAAAACATTGTTATATTTGCTCAACAAATGCTCAAACGTGACTCTTATTTACATACACACGGGACAAGCAGGTATACACATAAAGGAATAGCTGTTGTTTATTTACAACTCCAACTCTTGCGATAAATTTTTATTTACATTTTCCACAGAACATTGCAGCCCCTAAAGGTAAATAGTAGATAAACACTTATCATAAAAAACAATTCTTTATCAGTAATGCAAATTTTATGCGATTGATATATTGCAAATAAAGGTCAATGAAATTCTTTCCCAAAAAAGGTTGCTAATAAAATCGATCAGTATCTTTTAGTTTTTGTATTTGAACAACTTCACTTTTAAGCAGCAATACAATTAAGGTGAGTATCTTTTACAATTTAAAATTCAAAGCGGACACTTTATAAAGAACGTCAAATTATAAAGCAGAGAAATTCTTCAGGTAGTCTATAATTCTGGTTATCACACTTTTAGCTTCGTGCTTTTCCTTTACTTGAAAAGAATAATTCATTAATTTGTTTTAAAGACGTCTTTTTAATTAATAGTGTAAAGCACTTGATGCGCTTGTCACAAGATCAAGTTTTATCAGCACACCAGGTTATATAAATAATTTATGGACCTGTTGTCACTTTTCGTTCTCAAATCTATAGACAAAGATATAGCAAGCACATTATTAAAAAAACGTAACATAATAATTATTATAAATTAATTTGTAAAATAACAATTCACAAAATAAACTATGTGTAAATAAATATCTGGAAACTCTATTTATCTTACTCGTGAATTTCTGTGACCGACGCATTTGCATTTTATTGGAATAAAACTAATGGAATACCAATAATTTTTATATTTGCTATATTAATGGTTATTCAACCCTTAAACTTTCTTTAAAGCGATGTGAATAGCGTCAATGTTTCACACCAGATTACTTGTATTGGGCAAACAAAGAATTCACTACTGTACTAGGCAGGTAGATTTGTACAATTTAATGGATACAGCTACATGTACAATAATTATTATATGCACTTAAAAAGTATATACAAGGTAACAATTTTGTTTTCATTTTTCAGCCTTCTACAAGACAATCCACATTTAAAATCGTTGTTTTCTTTCATGAATGTAAATGGAGCTCCTTTCGACAGCCCGATGTTTAAAAGTCATGTTAGAAACGTTTTCACGGTAATTGGTGACGCTGTGGACCACATAGATGACTTAGATAGTTTAAGTCCTATCCTCAAGGAACTTGGGGCAAAACATCAAGGATACGGTGCAAAAAAGCAACATTTAGAGGTAAGTGTATCTAAAAGCATTATTAAAGCTGGTATGTTTTTCTACCTTGGCACGACTTCAGTAACCTACACGTATTTATTAAATCGTCGTCTGTGACCTTTTCCAAAAAAAAATTGTCCTCGCTTTCAATTGTTGGGGGGGGGGGGAGGTATTGATTTTTGTCTGTCTGTCTGTCCGTCCATTCTTCTGTAACACTTTCGTTTCCGCAAAATTTCTCTATAAGGCTTTAGGCGATTGTAATGGAATTTTACATAACTTCCTATGGCCTAAAATGATCCCTATTAGTTTTGGAATCCAAAGGTGAAAGTCGTAAGTTCATGCATCCCGTTTGTGTGTAACACTGCATGCCTTTTTTTTTCCTTCACGGGGAACAAAAATTCTCTAAATTAACTTTTTTCTTCAGATATTCCCCATTTACCAGTAATAATACTTGTCCTTTTTTGCTTGCGTTTTCGATGATAAACTTAAGAATTTGAAAATCTTCAGCTTCTTCAAAGTGGCTGGGTCAGTATAAAATTTGTGTTGATATACTTTGGATAAACAATTGTGTTTATGATCGGGCGATTTGCGATCGGGCGATTTGCATCTTATTTTTTCAAAGATTGAATTAAATGTTGGTTAATTTAAGATTAAACATTCTTACCAATAAAAAAATGATTTTCAAAGAGGATTTAAAAACAAAGAATTGAAAATGTAAATAAAATCAGATATTGTCATTTTTCAACCCCAGCTCAGTCTAACGGGTAAGAAGAAAATTCTAGAACAATTTTGCTATAGTTTAATTTGATGAAAATTAATTATGTGACCCCTTTTAGGACCAAGGTGAAAACGAAAGTACAAAAACTCCGATGTTTAGCAACAGAACTCCTTCAATCATCTTGCAGATGATATATGTATGATGGCTACGATTTGTATCTTTCAAAATTAAACATCTTTGCCCAAATTGTAAAAATGAAAACTCCAAAGGGTCGTCTTACCAAAAGATGAAATGTCAAGTGAGTAAAATGTAAAGGGGGTTTAGTAGATCGGTCGATTTATCAAAATATAAAAATTTTCCGAACGCTCTACCGAGAAGTAATTGCGGATTCGGAACAATTTTTTTTTATTAGAAACAGATGCTTTTTAATTAAAAAAAATGCCTCCTTTCGATCCCCTTTTTGTCCCCATGGTGAAAATAAAAAATCTAAAATTAATATTAATGCACATCTAATGACACTTCTAATCAAATTGTAAAGATGGGTTGACTATTGAAAAAAATATATGTATAAAGAGTTCATGGAATCAGATTTTTGCTGAATTTTTTTTTGAACCCCAAAATTTTAAAGCTACAAACACTTTTTTTATTCCTCCTGTATACTGAGTAGTATAATGTATATGCATTAACTGTGTTTATATTCCAAAGTATGTTTATTAGGATTTCCCTTCGTGTATTAAATAATTGAAAATATCTTTTATTTTTCAGCCCGTAGGAAATGCATTGCTATGTGCAATTGAAAAACAATTAGAAGACGACTTTACCCAGAACGTTCACCGTGCCTGGAGAACGTTTTTTGCAGTACTGAGCTACAGTTTTGCACAAGGACTAGATCAGACCAACGGAAAGGATGGATAATGCTGAATTTTCTCATGTTCTTGAATCAGATTCATTCTAAAGATACATGTATGCTGTGCAAAGACAAAGTATCAAAAAATCATAAATCATATCAAAAATCATTTGATCGACTCATAATGACCAAAAGACTGAAATATTGCAAAAACTGTATACGTTGTTTCTCTCCTTTAGATGTGACTAAAGACTGTTACAGAACTTGAACGTTAGTGAGTTATGTGATATCAACTTGATTCTATGATCACTGTTATTTTAGTTACAAAAATAGCTTAGTTAATTTATATACGCACTATATGGAGCGTGCAGGATGTACTATTATGTATTCATAATTATGATAGGGGGTTAAAGTCATTGAAAAGTGCATATATTGCATATATAACTTTATTCCCCACAAACTTTAAAAATTTTAATGTTGTTTTATGCCATCGTTTATGTGATTACTAAACATATATGATATTGATTGATATTGAATTTACTTGTATATGTCATGTCACCTTGTATTGTTTTTGTCAATCTTCCTATAGTAAATTTCTCTGTCTTTCTTGGACTTTCAGTGGACTTTTACGAGAAGCGCTGACTTCTACAGTTGACGGTTTACTTTGACAAACTTGTATCATGTACGGAAGTACGGAATTGATAATGCATCAGAAAACCTTTCTAGTGGTCATAGGAATGGTTTTAGAGGCACTAACATGTGAAGACCGGGAGTTGAGGGTAGAGTGGTTGTCGTTTTCGTCAAGGACAGCTTATATGTGCATTGAAATAACCCGTTATTTTCGTTTAATTAAATGTTGAGCTAAATATTTATATCATAAAAGAGCTAACGTACATAGCTCTAGTGTAAAAGTAAGCGTCAACTGAAAAAGTCAGCGCTCCTCGTAAAAGTCAAGATTTTCTGAGTCTGTGAAGAAAAAATCTCTAAACCGCTTAAAATGATAGGCAAACAGTTCAAGCATATGTGGACCGACCACGGTCAGGACACCCTATGGGAAGGAAAGATTGTTTCTTGGGAGGATGGAATATTTAAAGTACATATATATGAATATATTATACGTTTCTTCTTTTTTTCATTTTCCTTTTTAATATTCTTCTATAACAATATTATACTTTGTCAAGTGTTATGTTTTTTTTTTTGTATTGGGACCATAACAGCTAGTTATATTAAACATTTACAGGTGAAATACTGAGAGAATAGTGATTCCCTATTAGATCTAGATGGTGAAGAGCAACTTTACGAATTCACCGAATCCGAACTATAAGCGGATATAAAGGAAGGAAATCTTTCCTTCACATATATATTTATTACATTCAAAAAAAAAATTCATTCTCCTGAGTAAGATAAAAGAATATAATCATAGACTAAATTAACAATTTCATTTTTGTGTAACTTGACTGCAATTTCTTCGACTTATATTTCTGTACCTATTACATGCACAGACTCAGAAATTAAACACCTTCATCAGTGCTGGATCATTCCTACTCATTACAAACTTAAGTATTGATTAAATTTTATCAATTATGTTAGAAAATAAACTTGGAAAGTTTATTTTAAAAGCTCTGAGCTGCCATCACAGAAACTGTGTACCAATTGTGTGTTGTCCGCATGATAGTAAAGGGCTGGATGAAAGGAGTTGTATTACACAATACCGAAAAAGAAATTATATATTGGTCAAAAGTGGTGCAAAAATAAGAGAATAGCACACAGTGGTTGAAAAAAAATATATAAGAAAAGATAAAACGAGACATGGCAGCATATGGTTGTATGATTGGTTGGGCACTGGTAACTTAACTTCTAAAAACAAACAGAATTAATTCTTTAAAAATCTTCTCTGCTCCTGGGTATTATACCAATGAACTATGTACATAGTTATGATAAGGAAGGATGTCTCTTCCAAAATTGTGAATTTCATTGCCCCTGGGTCAGGGGTTTTGGTGTAAGGTGGCTCTTCCCTGCTCGTGGGTATTAAACAAACTAACAGTATATCGATCTTGTTAAATCATACATACGGAGAATTAGAGTTGCTGGAGGTGCCGTAAATGCTCAAACTGTCATGGCTATGGCAAAGAGGATCTTGGTAAGAGAAAATGAGGGGTGCAACTGACATTACCAAGGAATTGGCGCGATCTCTACTTCACTGGATGCGATCCACCATCAAGACCTTCGACTGTGTTTAGGAGCCTTTCGTACTTCTCCTATAGACAGCTTACAATTCCTAAGAAGAATATCACTTACTTTACAATATATTATGAAATTAAAAGCAAATACCGAAAATCCTGCATATGATTTGTTTTTCATCCGCAGTATGAAGATTTGTATGATAAAAGTAAATCATGCGTAAAACCTTTAGGAATTAGATCTGAGATACCTTTGGATATAATAAAACTACAAACTATTGTGAAATACCACCATGGAAATTAACAAAACAAAGTGTAGATACATCTTTAACCGAATATAAGAAATCGGAGACATATCCTTGTTTTTCAACAGAAATTGATGGAAATATTCTTCAGTCGATATATACACATACGGTTCAAAAGATAAAAATGAAGTGGCAGCAGCTGCAGTGATTGACAAAAGTATTTTTTTTCCAAACGACTTCCTGATGGAGCAACTATTTTTTGACAGAAGCAAAAGCCATACAGCTTGCTTTTGCGTACATTAAATCTTCTACTGCGAACAAATTTACAATATACTCGGACTCGCTTTCATGCTTACAATCGATAAAAAATATGAACATTGACCAAACATACATTTTAGATCTATTAGTCCAATATTATCATCTTACTCACCAAGGTAAAGTAGTAGACTTTAGTTGGATTCCCAGTCACATTGGCATCCCTGGAAACACCAAAGCCGATGGTGCTACAAAAACAGCACTCCAGTATGATGTTACTTTTTTCAAAATACCATACACTGATATTAAATATTTTGTTGATCTTTATGTAAACTCACTCTGGCAAATTTATTGGTAATTTTGTGATACAAATAAACCTTATGCTATGGAAAACAAAGTCAACAAATCATTTGATTTCGGCTTGAAACGCCAAGATGAAGTGATTATTTCCAGAATACGTATTGGTCATTCAAAAATTACACATGAATATTTAATTACTCGGGAATTGCAACCAGAATGTATATCATGCAAATGTCCGTTAACACATATAAATGTTTATACCAATTTAGAGTTTTTACATGAAACTGATTTTTACAGTAAAATTTAAAATGATATGACTAAAAATCTTGTATATACATTTTAACTGTTTATATTATACATCTTAACTGGTTCTTTTTTTTTTTGGTTTTAAAAGAGATGATCGTGAAGGACAGAAAATGAAACTTATTCTGCAACAAATAATAGACAGAGAAAAAAGTGTATTAATGAAAAAGCAAAAGAAGAACAAATTAATTCTGCTATTGAAAAAAAATCTCACGGTCTTTCCCTCTAAAGAAGAAAAAGTGTCTGCCATGAACAAAGAGCAAGTTAATTCATTAACAACATTCTGTTTTAAATCCTTCAGATAAACAATTACAATGTTATATACTTAATTTTAAAAAAAACATGACTTTAATTTAAAACTGTAATCGACAACTTTTTCACTTAAATGGGGAAAAAACTTGAACAAGATTTTCTGAGTCTGTGAAGAAGAAATCTCTAAACCGCTTAAAATGATACGGTCAGGACACCCTATGGGAAGGAAAGATTGTTTCGTAAGAGGATGGAATATTTAAGCATATATATGAATATATTTAATTTAAGTTTCTTCTTTTTTTCATTTTCCTTTTTAATATTCTTCTATAACAATATTATACAAGTGTTATTTTTTTTGTATTGGGACCATATTAGCTAATCATATTAAACATTTACAGGTGAAATACTGGGAGAATAGTGATTCCCTATTAGATCTAGATGGTGAAGAGCAACTTTACGAATTCACCGAATCCGAACTATAAGCGGATATAAAGGAAGGAAATCTTTCCTTCACATATGTATTTATTACATTCAAAAAAAAATCATTCTCCTGAGTAAAATAAAAGAATATAATAATAGACTAAATTAACAATTTCATTTTTGTGTAACTTGACTGCAATTTCTTCGACTTATATTTCTGTACCTATTACATGCACAGACTCAGAAACTAAACACCTTCATCAGTGCTGGATCATTCCTACTCATTACAAACTTAAGTATTGATTAAATTTTATCAATTATGTCAGAAAACAAACTTGGAAAGTTTATTTTAAAAGCTCTGAGCTGCCATCACAGAAACCGTGTACCAATTGTGTTGTTGTCCGCATGATAGTAAAGGGCAGCTGGATGAAAGGAGTTGTATTACACAATACCGAAAAAGAAATTATATGGTGGTCGAAAGTGGTGCAAAAATAGAGAATAGCACACAGTGGTTGAAAAAATATATAAGAAAAGATAAAACGACATGGCAGCATATGGTTGTATGTTTGGTTGGGCACTGGTAACTTAACTTCTAAAAACAAACAGAATTAATTCTTTAAAAATCTTCTCTGCTCCTGGGTTTTAAACCAATGAACTATGTACATAGTTATGATAAGGAAGGATGTCTCTTCCAAAATTGTGAATTTCATTGCCCCTGGTTCAGGGGTTTTGGTGTAAGGTGGCTCTTCCCTGCTCGTGGGTATTAAACAAACTAACAGTATATCGATCTTGTTAAATCATACATACGGAGACTTAGAGTTGCTGGAGGTGCCGTAAATGCTCAAACTGTCATGGCTATGGCAAAGGGGATCTTGGTAAGAGAAAATGGGGGGTGCAACTGACATTACCAAGGAATTGGCGCGATCTCTACTGCACTGGATGCGATCCACCATCAAGACCTTCGACTGTGTTTAGGAGCCTTTCGTACTTCTCCTATAGACAGCTTACAATTCTTAAGAAGAATTACACTTACTTTACATTATATTATGAAATTAAAAGCAAATACCGAAAATCCTGCATATGATTTGTGTTTTTCATCCTCAGTATGAAGATTTGTATGATAAACTAAATCATGCGTAAAACCTTTAGGAATTAGATCTGAAATACCTTTGGATATAATTAAAACTACAAACTATTTTGAAATACCACCATGTAAATTAACCAGAAGTCTCTGTCGAGACTGAAGCTCTACTGGTTTGAACTTATAGCAAAGGAAGAGAAAAGTACTTAAGCAGCTGGGATTTGAAACTTTACAACAGCAATAAATAGAATAATGATCGTTGATAAAGTCTCTTTATGTTCTTAGTGTAGTCTACTTGTGTGCCAAGTTATGTTGAAATCAGACCAAAACTGTAGGAGGAGTAGCATTTTGAAACAATTTTACAGATATTTCTATTTTTAGTAACCACGGCAACACCGTTCATCGAAATCAAAAACCGATAAACAGATTTATGTATTTTAGTGTAGTCTACTTGTGTGCCAAGTTATATTGAAATCAGACCAAAACTGTAGGAGGAGTAGCATTTTGAAACAATTTTACAGATATTTCTATTTTTTGTAACCACGGCAACAATCATAAACCGATACACAGATTTATGTATTTTAGTGTAGTCTACTTGTGTGCCAAGTTATACTGAAATCAGACCAAAACTGTAGGAGGAGTAGCATTTTGAAAGAATTTCACAGAAATTTTAATTTCTAGTAACCACGGCAACACCGTTCATCGAAATCAAAAACTGATACAAAGAATTATGTATCTTAGTGTATTCTACTTGTGTGCCAAGTTATACTGAAATCAGACCAAAACTGTAGGAGGAGTAGCATTTTGAAAGAATTTCACAGAAATTTCTATTTTTAGTAACCACGGCAACACCGTTCATCGAAATCAAAAACCGATACACAGAATTATGTATCTTAGTGTATTCTACTTGTGTGCCAAGATATACTGAAATCAGACCAAAACTGTAGGAGGAGTAGCATTTTGAAAAATTGTTTACAGACAGACGGACAGACAGACAGACGGACGGACGCCGGACGCATTACTATCGCATAAGCTCCTCTGGTCTCTGACCAGTAGAGCTAATAAAACCAAGTGTAGATACATCTTTAACCGAATATAAGAAATCGGAGACAAATCCTTGTTTTTCAACAGAAATTGATAGAAATACCCT